CTGCCTGTGAATAGACAAAGCCAGCTTCTGCTCTGAACTGATTCTCTTCACTTGTGGCCTTTTTGATTTCCAAACTTTCCAATCCACTGCGCCCCCAAAGAGTTTGAATGTATCACTTTCAGTTGATCTTCTATCTGAATCATCCGCAAAAGAGGCACCACTTGCTACTTCTACTATATTCATCGATAGGGCATCGGTATCTGCTCCGCCATATTGGATAGCTAGATTCTTCGTATTTCGTAGATAGGCGATAACGCGATCAATCTCTGCGGAATGGCGTTCAGAAGGGCTGACAATAAAGGTAGCAAGCTTGCCAACTACGAAGGCGATATCTAGCCGAGTCATCACCGCAGCGTAGATACAGGATCCTATCCGACGTTGAAAATAGTGGGTATCTTCTGGCGAGGCAGTGCCTTGAGAGCGCAGTAATTGGGCGCCGGATAGGGGCGTAGATGCCTTGCAACTTTGATATTCAGTAATTTGGGGCAATATTCGGACATCGTCCAGTTCGGACAGGCGTAGCAAAAGTTGGTTTGGTTCGAAGCTAGAACCCTCAAGGGTCGTCATTCAGCTGCTTGGCTCTGTCTAGGAGATGCCTATCTAACAACAACGGCTGGAAAGAATGACCCATTGACCCATTGGACCCTGTGTTAGAGCTTTTGAACAGCCTTCCCAAAACTTGGTCTCTATCGAATCTTACTTTGGAGATTGAGAAAACGGTTCAAGGGTTCTTCCAAGATGCAAACAAGACAAACTAAATTCAACATAAAGCGGCAGCAGCTAACTGGATTTGGTATGTTTGCACTCTCCCAATTGCCAATGTGTCCTCATTAAAGATCGTTACATGGTGAACAGCTTCAACATCCCGCATATTTAGAACGCTGCTTATTATCCCGACAAGAGCATCTTGGGGCGTAGACTCCGGGTATTAACGTGTCCTTTCTCGTTCCCCCGGTTTGCATCCCTCCTTTGAATTTAACATTTCCACGGTACGTCTCCCCGCAAGCTCCTTCGTCTTGTTTCGGTATTCGCATACTCCGCAGATGTATTTCACAATTGTATAAGAGAGGTTATTATATTTCATTGTGTTCTGCTCTTTGGCTTATTTCCTCTCCGAAAGCAGAACCCACTTAATTGGTGTCAGCATAGGTAAGTATTTATCTGGAACTCAGAATTCAGCGAGCTTGCGCAAAGTTTCGTTTCAACTAGCTAACAAGTACTACAGCTATACACGACGACTCTCTCATAATGGCTCCTCCGGGACGACGACGACGTTCCCCAGGGCGATTCCTCTCATTATACTTTCTCTTCTCCCTCCTTGCGTTACTCCTTCTCGCAGCTCTTCCCGTCCAAGTTTCCGCGGCTGGCTCCGCAATCATAGGAATCGATCTTGGGACAGAATACATAAAGGCAGCTCTAGTAAAGCCAGGGGTACCCCTCGAAATCGTGTTAACTAAGGATTCCAAGAGAAAGGAAGTTGCCGCTGTGGCATTCAAGCCGGCTCGTGAACAGAATGCCGTTTTTCCTGAGCGATTTTATGGTGGTGATGCGCTCTCGCTTGCCTCTCGATTCCCCGACGATGTTTTCCCTAATCTGAAAGTTCTCCTGGGTATTCCGTTTAACGTTGGAATTCCGAGCTCCGATGGAAAAAATGAAAATGCAGTTAAGATATACAGGAGCCGGTATCCCGCCATTGATATTGGAGAGATTCCACACCGGGGTACTGTTGGGATTAAAAGCAATAAGCTGGGAGAAGATCGAGGTCGTGAACGTTTTATGGTGGAGGAGTTATTGGCAATGCAGTTGAGACAGGTTAAAGCTAACGCGGAGGCGATGGGTGACCGGAGGTCTCAAATCGAGGATGCAGTCATCACCTTCCCGCCATTCTATACTGCAGAGGAGAAACGGAGTGTTGAATTATCAGCGGAGTTGGCCGGGCTCAATGTTATCGCTCTGATCAGTGATGGCTTGGCTGTTGGCGTCAACTATGCTACGAGTCGAACTTTCCCCAGTGTATCGGAAGGAAACAAGCCAGAGTATCATGCTGTGTACGACATGGGTGCTGGTTGTACCTCTGCGACTGTTCTCCGGTTCCAGAGCCGGTCCGTCAAAGACGTTGGCCGATTTAACAAAACTGTTCAAGAAGTACAAGTTATAGGCAGTGGCTGGGATAAGACCTTGGGGGGGGGATGCGCTTAATCAACTGATTGTTGACGACATGATCGAGAAATTCCTTGCTACTGAAAAGCTGATGATGACTCCACACGGGAAAAACTTA